TCATGAGCCTTTCTTCCTCAATGGTTTCCTTACTGGTCATCTCACATCCATTCTTGTCTATTTTTCCTCATCCAATTCATATGTAATACTGCAGCCAGAGTTTAAAAGCCAGAACTTTAAAAACTATAGGTCAGGTCATGGTACTTTTTGCTTAAAATCTTCTAGTGGCATATGACCCAGAAATTCTACTCCTAGGTATATAATCAAGTGAAATGAAACCATATGTCCACACAAAAACTTCTCACAAATGCTCATGGTAACATTATTCATAATAACTAAAAGGTAGAAACAACTCAAGTGTCCATTGACTTATGAATGGACAAACAAAATGTGGCATTATCTATATGATGGAATATTATTCACCCGTGTAAAGGAATACAGTACTGATACATGCTATCACATGGATGAACCTTGAAAACATTAAGTAAAAGAAGTCAGTCACAAAAGACTGTATTTTTATCCCATTTATACAAAATGTCCAAAATAAGCAAATCCATAGACAAAAAGTAGATCAGTGGTTGCTTAAGCCCAGGGGGAATGAGGAGACTGTGGGGGATAGCTACAGAGTACAGGATTTCTCTCTAAGATGATGAAAATGTTCTGTAATTTACTGTGATGATGGTTCCACATATCTTTGAATATACTAAAAACCACTGCATTGTACACTTTAAATGAGTGAATTGTATGGTATGTGAATTCTCTCTCCCTCTGTATATATGTATATATGTATATAGCTCCTACCCACTCCTCAAGCTTCATCCTAGACCTTTCCCCCTCATTCTCTACTCTTAGTCACAATGCCTTCTCTCAGTTTCTCCAAAAGATCAAGTGCCTTTTCACTTTAGTGTCTTTTCAATTGCCAGACCTTTTGTTTGGAATGCCCATTCCCTTCTCTTCACTTAGCTATTACTTAACCAGCAGATCTCAGGTTGAGCAGTATCATACCTTCATGAGAGCCTTCTTTCATCCTCCAGGAGAAGGGAAATCTTTTTTTTTTTTTTTAGAGACAGGGTTGTGCTCTGGGGTCGAGGCTGGAGTACAGTGGTGTTATCATAGTTCATGGTAGCCTCAAACTCCAGGGCTCAAGAGCCCTTCCCATCTCAGGCTCTCAAGCAGCTGAGAGCGTATGCCACCACCCCATTAATTTTATTTTTGTAGACATGGGGTCTTGCTATGTTGCCCAGGCTGGTCTTGAGCTCTTGGTCTCAAGTGATCCTCCCAATTTGGCCTCCCAAAATGCCAAGGTTACAGGTGTGAGCTACCATACCTGGCCAAGAAGGGAAGTCTTCTGTTGGCAGATCTTCGGTAAGACACTGTTGTAACAACTCATACTACTACTTTATAATATATTACACAAATACAATTATTTACATTTTTCTTTTTCACTAGCATATTTGTTTCACAAGGGCTCACATCATATTTGTCTGGTTCACTGATGTATCATCCGGGCTTCTCATAGCACCTGGCAACAGGTACTTTAAAATATTCAATAAGTATTTTGAAGATGAATGAATGCTAGAACATATCCAGTGAATGAGTCCAACCAGTCTACATCTAACATCTCCCTACTTACTTATCTTGTGCCATTCCTAAAATACACTTATCTTGACCTGTATTTGATGTACCACATTCAACTCATAATTCACTAATATTTTGATTTAACCATTTGAGTCACATATCTGGTCTGTTACAGGTACTATCTTATTGATTGTAGGTTACAACATTTCCAGAAGGCAGTAAAACTAAGTTTCTCCAAATAACAGTTCATGCAACAAGGTATTTAATAATGCAGTCTTATAAATAACCTGATATCCCCATCCTTTCTGGCATCAAGGTCTTAATGATGAGTTTAACTCATTTTACTTCTCTCAGCTCAGAAAGATTTTTTAAAGAGAGTTTTTGTCAGCTAATGAAAAGATTACTTTTGCATTTAGTTTCTAGGTGAAACTAATAGTATCTAAATTATATTTGAGCTATTAAGTATATAAGTATTTACTATTCAAGATTGACTTATTACTATTTCCTTGGCTGGAGACCAATTTTAAAGAGACCAATTTTAAAAAGACAGTTACTGGCTCTGAAACCTGTTAGCCCAAAAAATTAATTTCCTGACATTTTATGTAAAGAAATGAAAAAAAAAAAAAAGAAAAAAGAAAAAGAAAAAAGGAAGGAAGGAAAAGAAAAGAAGAAAAACACTATTTTCTAACTCAACATCTCCCTTAACTTCCTTCTCAAAATGTGTCTTTATAAAAAAAAGTCTTTATAATAGACACATTAGAGCTGTCCTTATTATAATAAGCAAACATAAAAAGTTCTATTTGTATTGTATCTTGTATCTTGTTTAATTTGTATTGTATCTTTTATACTTACTACACATATACACACACTCACATGGGACCTGATGGCTTCACTGCTGAATTTTACCAAACACTTAAAGAAGAATTAGTACCAATCTTACTCAAACTATTCTGAAAAACAGAAAAGGAAGGAATACTTCCAAACTCACCAGATGAGGCCAACATTACCTTGATACCAAATCAGACAGGGCACATCAAAAAAAGAAAACTACAGGCCAATACTAGGAAACCAAGTTCAACAACACATTAAAAAGATAATTCACCATGACCAAGTGAGATTTATTCCAGGGATGCAAGGATGGTTCAAAGATACACAAATCATTCAGTATGATATATCATATTGACAGAATGAAAGATAAGAATCCTATGATCATTTCAATTGATGCTGAAATAGCATTTGATAAAATTCAACATCCTTTCATGATAAAAACCCTCAAAAAACTGGGTATAGAAGGAACATACTTCAACACACTAAAAGCCATATATGACAAACCCACAGCTATTATCATACTGAATGGGGAAAAACAGAAAGCCTTTCCTCTAAGATCTGAAACAAGACAAGGATGTCCACTTTCAACCACTGTTATTCAATATAGTGCTGAAGTCCTACTTAGAGCAATCAGACAAGAGAAAGTAATAGGTTGGGCACAGTGGCTCAGGCCTGTAATTCTAGCATTTCGGAAGGCAGAGGTGGGAAAATGTCTTGAGTCCAGGAGTTTGAGACCAGCTTGGGAAACACAGTGAGACCCCATCTCTATTAAAAAAAAAAAAAAAAAAGAAAAGAAAAGAGAGAGAGAGAGTAATACATGACATCCAAATTGGAAAGGAAGAAGTCAAATTATCCTTGTTTGCAGATATACAATCTTATATTTGGAAAAACCTAAAGACTCCACCAAAAAAACTATTAGAACTGAAAAATTCAATAAAGTTGCAGAATTTAAAATCAACATACAAAAGTCAGTAGCATTTTTATTTGCCAAGAGTGAACAATCTGAAAAAGAAATCAAGAAAGTAAACCCATTTGCAATAGTTACAAATAAAACAAAATATCTAGGAATTAATCAAAGAACTAAAAGATCTTTACAATGAAAACTATAAAACATGGGTGTAAGAAATTAAATAGCACACAAATAAAGATATTCCATATTCATGGACTGGAAGAATCAATATTGTTAAAACGTCCATACTACCCAAAGCAATCTACAGATTCAATGTAATCCCTATCAAAATATCAATGCTATTCTTCACAGAAACAGAAAAAACAATCCTAAAATTCATATGGAACTACAAAAGACCCAGAATAGCAAAGCCACCCTAAGCAAAAAGAACAAAACTGGAATAACATTACCTGACTTCAAATTATACCACAAAGCTATTATAACCAAAACAGCATAGTTCTGACATAAAAACAGACACACAGACCAATAGCACAGAGTAGAGAACTCGGAAATAAATCCATACATCTACAGTGAACTCATTTTTGACAAAGGTGCCAAGAACATACATTGGAGAAAAGACAGTCTCTAAATACACACAAATATAAAAGCTCCTTCCTTTGGATATTCAAATATGAAGTCAAACTAAAATCTAAATTTTGATAAGATTTCACCTGGTCTAATCTTAACAAGGGATAATTATAGCCTTAGTCTTTAAGTACATTTGAACCTCCCAAATGCGGTACATTCTATTTTTAATACTTCCTCGAGTAGGAGAAAATGGCCCATTCTTGCTTGGTCACATTTTCCAAGGTTTCTCTTAATGCTGGCAATCAAAAAGTTTTTGTTAGCTTCTACCTTAAATATCTTTTATGTCAATTCACAATGTTCTCTCAACTTCTCTCTAAGGAAATTACAGAATACCTAGTCACTATTCTTCTACCATATCATCACATACTATTCATTTCTTTTTCTGGTATTCTTCTCAAAGTAATCAAAAGTTTATATCCTAGTTCTATTTCTTTAAGCCTTGTGTCATACTGCTCCCTTTCTTTGCTGCCAGAGAAGTCAACATAGACTACCCATAACAAAACAAAAGACCCTTCTCTGTGCTTCACAGGTTCTCCATTACAAAATGGTGAAATAATGCCTAACAATTGTCTCTATCACAAGACAAATAGAAAAAAGATATGCCTAAATCCATAACGGCATAAGTGTCTATGCTAAATAATCATAAATAATTGAGTCACCAAAAACTGACTGCTCAGAGGCAAAAGACAGAACAATAATTTAAAGATATATTTTCAGGCTGGGCACAGTGGCTCAGCCCTGTAATCCCAACACTTTGAGAGGCCGAGGTAGATGGATCATGAGGTCAGGAGATCGAGACCATCCTGGCTAATATGGTGAAACCCCGTCTCTACTAAAAAGACAAAAAAATTAGCCGGGCATGGTGACACACGCCTGTAGTCCCAGCTACTCGGGAGGCTGAGGCAGGAGAATCGCTTGAACCCAGGAGGAGGAGGTTGCAGTGAGCCGAGATGGTGTCACTGCACTCCAGGTTGGGTGACAGAGCAAGGCTCCATCTCAAAAAAAAAAGATAAATTTTCATAAATGTATTTGAAATTGGGAAAAGCACTTTATGCCCATTCCTTTATCTTGTACCTCAAAGCAGAGCCCCACAAATGAAATCAGTAACTCAACATACCTCCTCTTCTCCCTGGCTTCCACAGAGGAATCTGTTCCAGTAATGGAGAGTACAGGAGTAGCTGTAACCCCATTGGCAGTGCTAGGCAGAGGGCGATTGGTGATCACACAGAGCGGGGTGCTAGAAGAGACACTGTCTGCTGTTTTCTCTGCTGTCGAGTCAGCCTGGGATTTGTGAGGAGTCCTGAAATAAAAAAAGATACAAGCAGAAAGGAAATGGTTAGGCATGCTATACAACAAAGCACTGGCACAGAGACAGAAGGATTAAAGAGCGGTTCATCTAGGAAATCTTGCTCTGATGTTGTTTGTTGAATTTTTAATTTTGAGCTCTTACAGTTTGGAATAGTATAATTACACGTTTAGTCTGACATCCTTTGCCTGAGGAGTTACATTTTATGAGACTTGTATGTGTATGTGTGTGCCTGAGATTTCGTTTTAACAAAAATCATTAGCTATGGCACAAGGCAAGATAGTGACATATGCAATAGTGTTTTAAATGACTCCCCAGTAACATCTGGTCTCCACACATGCACACAGAGACAGGGCCTCTCTACACAAGAAAAAAACATTAAAGTCACTTACGATATTAGTCTCTACCTGTTCCTTAATTCTTGGCAGTGGGAGTCTTTGTGGTAGTCCTCAGCCTAGATTTGATGACCATCTTCTTGGATTATCCAGAGACAACTGATACTACAGCTCAGTGTGCTTAGTTCTCCCTCACCTAGTTCAGTAACTGCTCTCTCTTTCCATTTAACCAAATGCCTGTCTATATTCATAACTGCAGAAATGAGAATTGAAATAAAAACCAAACCAGATTCTATAAGTATCCTTAACTACAGACTTTTCAACAGCAAGCTGTATAATTAAACTCATTTACATGAAAACAAGATCTTTGTTTCTTAACAAAGAGTTGAGAGCAACCATTGGCTCTCCACCCAAAAAGCTATCATTTGTGATATCACAGCTGTTGCTGGGGTAACAGAGGTCCACAACTGATACAGAGATGGAGAAAGCAATGAAAAGCACAAATATTAAAAATCTATTTTTTTCACCTACTCACAATTATTAGCAGAAATGTTCACAGGTAGCTCTAAGCTTACTTCCAAATAATCACATTACAAGCTTGAAAAAAATAATAAAAATATAAAAAAATAAATATGGTACCTAGATAAAACAGAAAAGCAGACTATTTTAAAAGATAAAAGTAATATCTAAAAAACACATGCTAATTCTCCAGAAGCAATTAATGACTACAAAAAAAGGTGAAATTTTATAGTCATTTTTTAATAAAAAAAGAAAAGGCAAAAAATTCCTCAGACTTACAAGATAAGAATCTATAGGAAGTACTAATAAAATTAGCTAGACACACAGCTATAAAAAATTACACTTAACCAAACCTTACTTGAAGTTCTTTTTAGGTTAATAACATGTTTTGGTCTCACTGTAATTTCTTATGCTGTTGAAATGCCAAGGATTTTATTTTATTAAATTACATAATAGAACTTTTACTATTATTTTGAAATGCAGTGTAATTTTACAAGTAGATTGTTAGAATAAGCACAGCCCTAGAGCAGAGATCAGAGGATATGCAATGGGGTAGAATAAACATGGGCTTTGGAAACACAACATTTGCTTAAATATAGACTCTCTGATCTCTTCTTCATTGATAAAATAGAGATAGTGGCACCTTAAAATACAGGGTTCTTCTAATGATTAAATAAAATAATGTCTGCAGGACACCTAAAATAGTACCCAGAATAAAATATAAACTCAGCAGAAACAAACAGTGACAAAATAGATAAGAGCTTTGAAATGTACAAATCTGGGTTCAAATCCCACCTCAGTTCCTCACTGGCTGTGTGACCTTGGGCAGATGATTAACCTTTCGGTCCGAGTTTCCTCATCTATAAAATAATACTTTATATAATAGGGGGCTCATTATAAGAGAATAGATGATATATGTATGCATGAGACAGCTAGTTGTCTAACCCATATCCATTGTCACTTTCTTCTTTATGAACTGAATCCCTATGTTATTGACAGCAGCAATATACCTAGTTAAAGTACACACTTCTCAAAGTCTCCTGGCCACTAGAGGTACCCAATAAGACATATGCAGACAACTAGTACTTCTGGGAAAACTCTCAGTTCAGAGGCATTCTTTCTTTGTCTGTTTCCCTCTTTCCTCCTTCTTCTTCCGTAGAGTACAGCCATGATAGCTAGAGCTACAGCAGTTATTCTGGACCACGAAGCCACCCATGGAAATGGCAGCCATGACGCAAGAACTGTGGAGAAGAGAGAACTTGGATCCTTTAATGACTGTGGAGCTACTGAGCCAGCTTTGCATATTTCTAGACTTTCTTAAGTGCAAGAAAAAAAAACTTTATCTTATTTAAGCCACTACTACTTAGATTTATTGTCACATGTAAGCAAACTAAATCCCAATATAATACCTAACCAAATGCCTGTCACATAATGGGGTCCAACAAATTGCAGTTGTAATTATTTTCTCTCAGTTGCAGCTCTTCATAGTTATAGTAATAGCAATATAGTATTACTATACAATATGTAATATTATATATGTAAAATATAGTAATATGGCCAGGCACAGTGGCTCACACCTGTAATCCTAGCACTTTGGGAGGCCAAGGCAGGCGGATCATGAGGTCAGGAGATCAAGATCATCCTCATTCTGGCTAACATGGTGCAACCCCATCTCTACTAAAAATACAAAAAATTAGCCGGGTGTGGTGGCATGCACCTGTAGTTCCAGCTACTTGGGAGGCTGAGGCAGGAGAATAGCTCAAGCCTGGGAGGTGAAGGTTGCAGTGAGCTAAAATTGCACCACTGCACTCCAGCTTGAGTGACAGAGAGAGACTCCATCTCAAAAAAAAAAAAAAAATACATATATATATAGTAATATAATATAGTAATAATAACCTCTCTATGTTTGTTTCTTCATCTATGGTGATAATAGTTAACATGTCTATGCAAATGGATTATTATAAGGACCTAATAGATTTACCCATAATTACACAGTATTATTATTAATAATCCACCATAAACCCTTACCTCCTGGCTGAATTAATGATCACCACTTATTTTAGGGAAAGAAATCTAGTAAACTGACAAATATCAATCAAGCACCATCATTGGCGTTCCTGCACCAACACCATCATTAAGATTTTTTTCATTTTCTTTGTCAGTTGTAGACACAGACCCAAAAAAAGAGACCCTTTGCCACCACACATAAAGGATTAAAAGCCACAGTTAAAATTACAGCTAAAGTCCTAATGTACTTTCACAATAACACTCTACCATGTTATCCCTTAGCTGAACTAGAAACCAAGAAGATACTGCTCCCAGAACACAGTTTAGACAAACACAAATCTGTCCCTTCTCACAATGTTTCCAGCAAAATACTCTCGTTGGCTAGGAGTTTTCAGAAGGCTATCACAGGCTTTTGGAAAATGAGTTAGCGTTCTTTCTGCTTTGGGTTTGCATGCCATTTAAAAGACTAAATACAAGAGATTCCTATTATAATTACTGGAAAATTAATAGAAGTAAAATATGAAAATATTTTCAATATTTAATTTAGCACAATAGTATGACCCTTAAATTGTAATCACAACTGGTAAGGTTGTTGAGAGATGAAATCAGTCATATTAAGCTGATGTCCAAACACCAAGTACAATTATACATACCCTTTGATTAATCAATATGCAACTGTTGACTGGTTAATACAAGTCAAAGCAAAAGCATCTTCATTAAATTCAGACATTTTCTCAGGAATTCTAACTTGCTTTTATAGTGACAAAGTCTCTTTGGTTCAAATTTCGTATCTGTTTTCAGAGCCATTAACTTTGATGAATGCAACTCAAATGGCTCCAAGAAGCCTTACCTGCCATGATGTACAGATGCAGTAGTGTTTGCACTGATTGGTGCAGGGCAAGAAGAGGCAGGTTGCCACTGGCTGCCCTGAGAGGTAGATGAACCAATGGTAATGGGTGAGGTAGCAGGAGATGAATTGCGATTGGCTGAAATGTAGGGACTTGTGGGGTCACTACTTCTACCAAATGAAGCACTGCAAAACAGCACACAGTCACTTTCTTCAGGACATGCTGCTCACCCACCATTTCCCAGCACCACCTTCCCACCCAGATTGTGCACTTGAAATGAATATAGACCAAAGAAAGGGTATGACAACTGGGAAGTGAAGTGATCAACTCCAGTTAGAGCTGAGTCACTGGCAGCAAGCAGGCAATCATCCAAAAGAATGAAGGAATCATCACTCTTTGAAGGATGGTCTTTTTGGTCAGTCATCCAAAAGAGTGAAGGAACGTGGAGGAAGAGAGATGATACTCAATGAGGGAAAGCAGGAAAGTAGAATATATGATAAGAGGAGAGGCTAAGAAAGGTAATAATAGGAAATAGGATAATTTTATTAGAAGAAAATAATTCCCAACAAACTCAATGCAAATAATCATGCAACCCCAAATGTCTACCTGATACAGAATTAGCACTGCAAAAGCAAAAGCAAGACCAGAGAATTTGGAGAGGTTGTGGAGCAGAGATTTAAAATTTAAAAGTGGAAAAGGGTAAAGAAGCTCTGTGAAAAAAAGTGACTTTGAGAACTGCAGTTATTCAGCCTAAAGCAAAATTGCCTCTGGGAGGATTTAAAGTTTTAAGTCTAGAAAGTAATACTATATGAGCAATAAAGGGCAACTTTTATTTGTTTCAATTGAAGACAGGTAAGAACTATCTCAATTGCAGGAAAAAATTATTTGGGTTCAAATTTCAAAAATACTTCTTGACTATAATAGAAATGAGACACTTGAGGAGATAACAAAAAAAAAAAAAAAAGCTATAAAGCCTTCCTTGGAAAAGAGGTATTTTAATATGGGCTATATGAAAGGAATTTCTGCCTATACACAAGAGATGAACTAGAAAATGGAATGTATATGAAGGTTTGGCATAGCTAGGAAATGACAAATTTCTCCTTACACTTGCTCTTTTAAATGGTGATGGCATAAGATTCTTTCCTTTTAAAAATCATAAGATCGGCTTTTACAAAATCAAAAAATGCTTTAGGGTTACAGGAGAAGAGCTTTGGAAATTCAAGATATGAAGCAAGTTGTACATCTTTTCCTCGAAAAGTGCTCACATCATTAAGCATGCTTTTGATCCTAAATAGAGGCAGCCTGTCCCTTCACTGTTCACCATAAGTTTGCCAAACTACATCTATCAAACCAAATACCTCTCAACCCATTTGCTGATTATTTGGATCACAAAAATCAACAACCTCACCACAGAATAACTCCATGCCTGGAAATTAAATGGCAGCTTTCTCCCTTCCCTTGATCTAGAACATTATTTTCTCAGAAAAGTTTTCTTGATCTTGGATTCAACTATAAGGAATAATAATGCATCCAGGAAGACCAAGGCCTTAGCCATTAAGACAAATAGGTGATAGCCTCATAGAGCAAGAAACACCTCTTTTGTGTAATAAAGCATCAGTGAGTCCATCAAACTTTCATACTTCCCAAGTTGAGCCCTTTCTTATAGAATGTATCTACAGAACTGAAGAACATTAAAAGGCAACAATGACTGTTTTCTAGCTATTTCCCATGTTTCAACAATAACTAGTTGACAAGTTTTTCTGTCAAGTGGAAATAAGTGTTGATTACAAAGAGTTAATGTGCTCATCTAGTCTATGGCCAGGGCCTGTTTCTAAGGTGGCCAACCAATCATCTAAAAAAACCCAGTGATGAAGGCTATGGTATGAGGAGATAGTGGGAGGGGTTTAGTGGAATTGAAGAAAGAATTCAAAGTAAGCAATAAAAAACAGATTCTTCCACATTAGCAGCAAAGTTCAAATTAAAATATTAAGTATTTTTGTAGCTTAATGGCTCTGGCAAAGGTGCTTGGTTTGTTGGCTAGTATGTGGCAAAGAAAATAATTGCAGAAAGGGAATACAGATGAGAAAAGAAGGAAACCCATGTACCTTCTCTGCACCAAACTTGCGAGTTTCACATCTTGATGGATCTGAGGGCCATTAAAGTCATAAGAAAAAAAACAACTCAAGTCCCTAAATTAACAGGCTTCAGTATGAAACTTCTTTAATGCAATAGAAAACTGTCCCCATTTCCCATCCCTCCCCACTTTATAGTATCCCTCCCTTTCTCCCCCCAAAAATAGCACATGGGATGAGAACTACTCTGTTTCAGAATAAGGAGAACCAGCTACTGGACAAGGATAACTTAAATTCAGTCTTGCCCAGACATTACTGAAAGCCACTTCTGAATGAAAATTTTAATAGAATGGAGAGGATGAAGTATGAAGCCAGTAGTGAGAATCTGAAATTAGCTTACTTTAATTCAATTATTAAGAGAATAAATTAATTTTAATTTTAAATTATTCAAGATGTTAATTCTAAGAAACCTGAAAGTAATTCATTTTGATTCATTTCTGTGGTGTTAATTGGACATAAAAAGGCATGCAATCCTTACCCATATTCCCATGGCTAGAGTGAAAGGAACATCTCCCACCCCCTTTGAGCCTGGTACCTTTTCAAGTAGGTTGATACATAGGTGGAGGGGGCAATTGTCTGTGGGGTTTCATTTCCCTTTGCTTCGTCCCTCCATAGCTGCCGGGTATAGGAGCCACTCCTCACTAGATTAACAGCTGATTCTCTGTAGAAGCATGAAAGGAAAAGAAAACACTGATTCCTACCACCAGTTTTTGTCCATGATACAATGCAAACAGAGAGAGAAGAGCCAAACAGGCAAACTATAACATGGCTAATAGACACATTCTTCAGGTGATTCTGTTTTATATACCTGTTTTCTGTACAGAAGAGAAGTATTACTGCCTGCTTTCTTTCATCAACTTTGAACCAATTAATTTCAACAGGTACCAAATTCCTCATGTCAAAGGTCTCTAACTCTTTTGTAATAAGAAGTCACTTTTGATCTTCACTTAAAAACTGCTTTGCAGCTGGGCATAGTGACTCACATCTATAATTCCAGCACTTTGGGAAGCCAAGGCAGGCAGATCACTTCAGGTCAGGAGTTCAAGACCAGCCTGGCCAACATGGCGAAACCCCATCTCTACTAAAAATACAAAAAAATTAGCCAGGCATGGTGGCACATGCCTATACTCGAGAGGCTGAGGCACAAGAATCGCTTGAACCCAGAAGGCAGAGGCTACAATTAGCCAAGATCGTGCCACTGCACTCCAGCCTGGGCGACAGAGTGAGACACTGTCTCAAAAAAAAAAAAAAAAGAAAAATTAGTCTTAGTAGTAGGTGGCTTTTAAGTTAAGCAGAGAAGGAAATGATGGGGGAAGATGAAGAAGTTACTGAGAAAAAAAGGTTATTACAGAAGGGGAAGGGGAAGGAAGACTTGCTGGAAGCCTCTTTAGCATTATAAATGAAAAGGTATCCAGGAAAGTGCTGTACTAGGATTTTTGATCCACAATTGATAACTCAGGGTCTTTGTTGCAAAACCTATGGGTTTCCATGCTTCACAAGATTCTCTAGCACAATCCTTCTCAAACTTTAATGTGTATTAATATTTGAATCACCTAGGGAATTTCATTAGAATGCAGATTCTAATTCAGTAGATCTGGAGTAGGGCCTGAGATTCTGGAGTCCTAACATGAACCCGGGCCAGGAGCAGTGGCTCACACCTACAATCCCAGTGCTTTGGAAGGGCAAGTCAGGAGGACCACTCGAGGCCTGGAGTTTGAGACCACCCTGGGAAACATAGCAAAACCCTGCTTCTATTAAAAAAAAATTTTTTTTAAGAAAAATAAAATGTACCCAGGTGATGCCAATGCTGCTAAGGTTTGAGATCACATTTTGCCCCGAGATGCAGCAATACTTCAAAATCCCTATATTTAACTAATTAGGACGACTTTAATTTTACCTTCTGACAAATTAGAAGTTGGTCAATTTAATTAAATAACATTATTTTAGTGTTCACTATGTGTTAGGCACCGTGCTAGGAACTAGGGGTCCTTGAGAAACCAGACAGACACAGACCCTACCTTTATAGAGCCTGCTGGTGGGCTAAAACTAATGCATGTGTGGAAAAATCAGGGAAGACTTCCTAAAGAAGGTAATGTCTAAGCTGGAGTTAGAATTTGAAGAATAAAGAACTAGCAAAGCAAGGATATAAGAGTTGAGGTGTTCTAAGCAGAAGGAACAAACAATTCATAACGTGGTAAGGAAATCTGAGGGAAAAATGCAGAAGAGTTATGCCCAGGAGATGACTATGTCCAGCAGACCTAAGAGGACGAGGACCATCTTTTGGCTGGTTTTAGGATTACCTGTTCTCCTTTTCTTCAATATCACTTGTGCTGTTGAGCTTCCGGGGTGCTAGTGAACTAATATAGCTTTTGTTTTCTCTCTCCTGTAAAATAAAAGGAAGTAAAGCACAAGAAAGGTACAATACTGGCACAGCATAAAACATTTTGAGTAAAAAAGCAGAACTTAATATACCTATATAATCTTATTTCTGGATCCAACACTAATTCTATTTTGAGTGGTATTTACAAAAGGTTAGCTTTCAAAAGCTTACTCCTAACTTTCTTCCATTAAAAAACAGTATGAAGGGAAATAATTCTCATGGGAAAGTCAGGATGAGCAAATAAAGAAAACAGCAGCACAAATTACACAAAGCAGCACCTCTGCCAAGAGAGGAGGAGAGCCTTTGAAAAGCCACAAACAGAAAGCTCCACTCTAATATTCTTGATGAAATAAGATTTATGTAGTCCCCAATAGTCCCCAGTACATCTTTTCCTTGAAATACAGCTTCCTTAGGAATATGTACAATAGTATGCTGCAGAGTTAATCCAACCAATATGCCTCATCTCTTTGAGTAGTCTCCAGAGATATAACGCAAGAGGACTGTGATTAAAAGGAAGATGTGACCCCAGAGAAAAGCACTAAGAGAGTCCTATAAAATCTGGAACTAAAGAGTGAAGAAAATAAAAATTTACTAATCTTGAATGAATATACAAACTATTTGTGAAGTTAGCCTAACCATATTAATGAATGAATGACAAGTTAAAAATTATTTTTCCAAGTACTAATTTGCCTGAGCTTAATTTGGATTCAAAGCCCAGAGAACCTCTTAGGCCATACTGAATTTTTTGTTTGTTTGTTTGCAGGGTAGGAGGCTTTATTTCACTGTGGTGGGAAAGCAGCCTAGACAGCGTGGGGCAGGCAAGGCAGCAGGGGCTGCCCCCAAGCCTGTTGAGGAGAAGTTGAGGCCTGCCCCAGCGGAGACCTAGCCCAGCGGGAGAAGGGGAGTGGGGGGGAAACTGGGTCTGAAGGAATGAGGGCCCCCTTGCTCTGAGCATTCCTCCTAGAGGGCCTCAGTCCCTCCTACTGGCTGGGCTGCACAACCCCCAATCCTTGCTGCCTCCAACTCGGAGGAGGTGGCTGGACCAGGGAGGGCAGTGGACAGGGAGCCTGGGGGAGTTAGGGAGCGCAGGGCAGGGTCCATGGTATGCAGACGGGGTGGTGGCCACCTGGGCGGTCAGTTTCTGGCAGGAATTACCACAGAAAGTGCCACACCCTCCAAGGCAACACCCTCCAAGGCAACAGCAGTCGCCCCAAACAGCCACTTCCATGGGCTGGACCAGGCACCCTTGCTGGGGCACGGCTGGGGTTGCCCAGTATTTTCTAGTACAGAGCAGTCTCCATGCTCCGCTGTGCTGCGTGCTTCTTCACCAGCTTCGAGAGCTCTGCGTGGATAGTCTTGTTGGAAGGTTCCAGCTTCAGGACCGCCCTCAGGATAGGGATGGCCTCACTGTACTCATCCTGCTGGGGCAGTATCTTGCCCTTGCGGAAGACAGCCTTGATGTTGTCCAGATGGTGCCCCAACGAGGTTGCAGGAGCACAGGGCTGCACAGTAGTGGTCGAGCTTCACCTGTGAGGCCACCAGGTTGTTCAGACACCTCGCCCTCAACTGCAGGAGCTGCTTCTCCTCCTCGAACGTCATGTCCACTGTGGCGCTGGAGGTGACAGTCTTGATGGCAAGGTCATAGGAGTTGGTGGCCAGGACGAAGTCTGCCCACTGGTAGTGGGCACTGCTGCACTCCCACTTCCGGTTGGCCAAGGCCACGCGCTCCTGCCCTATGAGCATCTCCAGGTCAGGCCAGTCCACAGCCATCTTCGGGGTCACCTCCAGGCACAGGGCCGCGTGTGGGGGATGTATGGGCTCCTGTCCCGGGGGCTGTAGCAGTACATGCAGTCAGCAGTGACCATGGCTGTCTCCCCCACGTCCATGAGTTAGACACTGAGATCCAGGGCCTGGATGACCTCACAGACGCTCAGGGTGAACACTAGCTCCGGCTCCTCCTGCACCCACATGCCATTCTCTCGTGATGTCTGCAAATGCACGATGACCACCTGGCCCTTGACTGGGCAGCTCAAACCCGGTGGCCCTGGGACAAGCGTCTTCTTCCTCAACAGCTGGTTATGTCTGGCCACTCTTCAGGGGCCGGGGACGGGGCAGGCTTAGGCTCCATGGCAGTGAGGAACTCTCGGGCCAAGGTCCCGGGCTGTTCAGTCTCTTCCACCAGGGGCTGTCCCACGTCCTCCAGCAGTGGCAGCTCTCTAAGGTCATCTTCCTCCTCCTCTCCCTCCTTGCCCTCTGCATTCTCGACCCCATCCAGCACCTCGAAGTCCTCAAGCAGTGGGACCCTGGCAGGAGGCGGGGGCAGAGGGCTCAGAGGGTTCAGCACACGATGCCATGCTGCTGAGGGTATAGGAATTGGCCCTCTGGCTCCAGGACCCCTGCCTGCGGTCCTGTGCCCCCCTCCGCCATATTGAAATTTTTATGTTTCTGATCTATTTTTTGCTTTAGGTAAGGGGGCAAGGAAGACTGAACGAACCAAAAGGAAAAGCTATTTTTAAAGTTTTTTTTTTTTTGGCCAAGTAAAAAATAGCAAGCAAATAGCTACTTGATTAAACTATCAGTGTGCCTGTCTCCTTTTAAAGGCTTTGCATTTCCAAAATCAACTTAAGGACTAGAAAATATTTTCATTTGTTCCTAAGATTGAATTTTCATGGAAAAAAAAACTGCGTTGGAATTCCCCCATACCCTCCCAAACTGCACCTTATCTTTGTTGTCTAGTAGAGCAGAAATCCGAGGGCTTGAAGAGGAACGGTAGATGGAAGAGCCTCGGTCCCTTAGAGGTTCCCTGGAATTGGCCACCTCACTCAGCATGTTGTGGCTGCCAGTTTTTCTCAGTCCCAATCTCCATGAAGAAGGAGATTCATCTTTGGGCTCTTCTGGCTTGTTAAAAAGGCCAGAAGAGAACTACGAGAGAAGCAAAAGAAATGAAAAATAAAGGCTCTGATGATTCTTTTTCAGCCTATTTGCCTTTTCCACACTTAACTAAGTTCAGCGAGGCAACATAAGGTAGCTAAGAACAAATACAGGGCAGTCTTTCTGCCAATGTTCCCTCCCTCACCCGGCAAACACTAATAACCTCTCCAGGCTCTTTCTTCCTAAGTCAAAAATAGCCTCGGATTCTTCACACAGTGCTCCTACCTGACAGAGTTGTTGTGAGAAATTAAACACCATTTGCTATCCTTGTGCAATTAATACTGACCTGGAACACCAGGAGATTGTATTCGAGTAATGTATCTTCTTCTAACTCACTGTGGAACTGAAAATAAGATACTTTACTTCTCTAGGTCTCAACATGCTCACCTGTAAAATGATGATAATGAGCTTAATCCCTTATAATATGTGGAGACTGGAAAAAATGAGATCAGCTAATTTATCTTTTATTTTTATTTTTTTGAAGTGGGGTCTCACTCTGTCGCCCAGGCTGGAGTGCAGTGGCCTAATCAGAACTCACTGCAGCCTTGACCCCCTGGGCTCAAGCGATCCTCCCACCTCAGCCCACCAAGTAGCTGGGACTACCAACATATACCACCATGCTTGGTTAATTTTCTCTAAATTTTAATAGAGACAAGTTCTCCCTATGTTGCCCAGGCTGGTCTCGAAGTCCTAAACTCAAGCAATCCTCACACCTCAGCCTCTCAAAGTGCTGTGATTACAGGCATGAGCCCATGTCCAGTCAGGAACAGGCTAATTTATAAATACATTTTAAGGTACTATGATAAAGTGATTTAAGTTAACATTGACAAAAATTCTAGAAGCCACTCCACTTAAATTCTGCTAATTTCAAGGAAATTTATTTGATCTAGAGTAGCAGTTTAGAGAGCTTTAGATTTAAAAAAAAAAAAAAAAAAAAAAAAAAAAACCCATAAAACTAGAGGTCAAAGCGTTGCTATCTTTTTATCTTTTAAATTTAATTTTGCCAAAAGAAAACAACATTCTGAAAGATGTTTTCTTTTTGAACTCATCATCACCACCATTTCATTAAAAATGAAATGTTAATATCAAAAAAGAAAGCTTTATGGAAAGCTTACATTGTCCTTAATTATCTCATTTTGCCATAAACTAGGGAAACATCATAGATCAGCATTAGGCCAAGGACCAGTTTGGGGTACAACTAGTCTTTGGAATACAAGCCAACAGACCCTTCCTGAGGTCCAAGACCTTTTCAAGAAGACTTAGGCCTTTCTTCCAATATGAGGCTACCTTTACTGCCTGATACGGTGAAAATAAATGAAACTATTAATCACTAATCTCCAACTCACATAAGATTTTCTCTTTTCATCAGTCATCTGAATGTACACATGTATGTACTCCTTCCAGCTTTAGGGGTTCAATAATGTCAGCTTTTTACAAGCTACTCTGATTCTAAGGGGGAAAATGCCTTCCCCAGCATCATTTTAGCAAAGTAGAATACGTATCTGTGTGTGTGTGTGTGTGTGTGTGTGTGTGTGTGTGTGTGTGTGGTGGTGCTGCTGCTGCTGCTGCTGCTGTTGTTGTTTTTGAGACAGGGTCTCACTCTGTTGCCCACGCTGGAATGCAATGGCACAATCACAGCTCACTACAGCCTTGACCTCCCGGGCTCAAGTGATCCTCCCACCTCAGCCTCCCAGTCCCAAGTTGCTGGGACTACGGGTGTATGCCACCACGCCTGGCTAATTGTTTTATTGTTTTTAAAGATGGGGTTTTCCCATGTTGCCCAAGCTGGTCTCAAACTCCTGGGTTCAAGTGATTTGCCCACCTTGGTCTCCCAAAGTGCTGAGATTATAAGTGTGAGCCACTGTACCTGTCTAATTTAGTATTTTTCTATTGAAAAAAGTAGGAAGTCTAGGCATCCTTAGAAGCAGTGGCAGTATATGAGGTACACCTAAATGACTGAATAATGAGTGAGATTACATTTATTGGAAACCTCTTTAATTATTCACAATGATGCTTCTAGGGATAAATAAGTATACAGGCCTTTGTTCTCTCATTTCCACAAGAATACCACAAGCCTATCTTTCCAATTCATGAAGTGCTAAGAAGATCATTAAGTTCATACCTATATAACCACAGAGCTTTTTCAACAGCTTCACTCCAAATAACTCAAATCAATTCTTAACCTCAAAACAACTTTTATACTTTGTAGAGCAGGATCATCATTCAACTCAGTCTCACTCACTAGAAGCCTACAGATTCTCAGAGGCCTGCACAAAGTTACAGGAGGAGGTGCCTCTGGTATTTCAACAAGTTATTTCTACGTCTGCCCTCTACTCATCATAAGGTATAAAGACTTTACTCATGAAAGTCTTAAAGGAGAAACATAAAAAGGAGAATAATCACCAAAACAATGAATACTGGATGCTAGGTATCTTCTAGCCCAGTCCACACTTTACATGCAGGCATCTTAACTTCAGATACAAAGAAAAGAGGCAAATGACAAAATCTCTTTGGCCTCGGACTGCTCTATCTTATGTTATCTTAACACATGGTGGCCAAATTTGTTTGGTAATGACCTTATAGATTTTGGGCGGCAATGTTATGGGTTGAATGTTTGTGTCCTCCCAAAATTCATATATTGAAGCACTAATTCCCAATGTGACTATATTTGGAGATAAGGGTCTGTGAGGAGTGATGAAGGTTAAATGAGGTTAATAGGGTGGGGTTCTAATCCGATAGGGCTGGTTACCTTATAAGAAGAGAAAGAGATACCAGAGCTCCTTCTCTCTGCCATGTTAGGACATAGCGAGAAGGTGGTTATATTCATGTCAGAAAGAGGGCCCTCACCAGGAACTGAATTGGCTGGTACCTTGATCTGAGACTTCCCAGCCTCCAGAACTGTGAGAAATAAATTTCTGTTGTTTAAGCCACCCAGCCTGTGTTTTTTGTTATGGGAGCCGATTACGACAGGCAAAAATGTATTTTTTATTATTTTGCAAGAATGTACCTTTAAGGCCTTTCTGGATGTGTGCTACTGCAGTAGGGTAAAATCTAATTCCCAAATTAAGCAAAAAGTACTCACCCTCCTGGCAGAAGAGGCAGAGAAGGTATTCTGAGCTGGTGCTGGTATCTGCTCCGTGACGCTACTCTTGCTTTCAGAGTTGGAATGGTTGACAAAGGTTTCCGGCTTTTTACCTGTTATTTAAGACAAGAGAATTAACAACTACTAGTATAAAAATCTTATCTTTGTGTCTATGTCCTTTTCTGCTAATAGAAAAGATTTGCCCATTATCAAAACAGATTATTAAGGCCTTGTAATGCTTGGATGTAAACTAACATAAGATCTCTTGCAACTGTTGGCAGAAGAAAATAAACTCCACGTTATTCCCATCTTGGTAGGCTCCAACTCCAACTTTCAGATAAAAACTGAAAACTGTCTCCACGTTATTATATCATATATAAAATCCATATATAATCTGTCCTTTGGGGATCTCATCCTTTTCTACAGTTTTACCCTTCACTTCTTATGCAGATAATTTCCACTTGGGTCCCTACTACTCTGAGGAGTCCCAGATCAAAGTCCAGATCTTAGGCACGCCACTTGCCAGTTATGAAACCTAACTCACCTAACCTCCTACAGTGTCAATTTCCCATTCTAAAAAGTAGTGATAATAATATATACCTCAGAGTGTGGCTGTGAGGATTAAAGAAAAATGTTTAAGTGTGGTGCAAAGTAAAAAGCACTATACAAATATAAAGTTTTATTGTAATTCCCTGAACTAGATATAATGTTTCTGACTAGTGAATACCATTGACTACACTTACATCTCTCATGTGACATGTATTTCACTCATGTATACATCTTTCTATTCCCTGACTAGATATATTCAACAAAAATCATTGAATGAATGTGAATGCCTGTTATGTACCAGGCATTGAGCTGAGACCTGGGAGTTCAACAATGAACCCAGAGTTCCCAGCCAAAATGAGTGCTACAGCGGAGTTAAGTAGGCAGTGCTAGAGGGACATAAACAGAGAACAATCATGGGGTAGAAGAACAGTGAGGTGGCCCATTTCCTTTCAGCTTCCTATACCAGAAAAACCTAAAAAAAGACTTTTTCAACCTGCTAGATCCTATAGTTTTCTACAGAAATCACTCAATGAGCATTAATGGCCTGAAATGAATTTAGGCTTAAATGGTACAAATGTTCAGGAGCAGGAAAGCTCAGGGCATGTTTGAGGAAATTAAGCAGTCCAACTTGGCCAAAATGTGTCCTTAACTATGTACAGCATTGGAAAGGTCAGCTGGAGCTAGATTATGAAAAGTCCTGAAGGCCAGACTATGGGGCTTGGGGTTTATTTACTCTGTAGGCAAAGATAGAGTGAGAGAGGTGGTCACAGGTTTAAACAGAGGTGTAGCATAATTAAAAGGGTACTGTGGGTGTTTATGCCAATAGCAATGTGAAGACGGGCTACAGAGAACAAGAGATCTAAGGCAAGGGTACAAATCACAAAGCAATGACAGTCATTCAGGCAGCTCCCTCCCATTTTTCTCATACCTTAGCAACTAACAAAAGTAATCTAGAATAGAGCAAGTTCAGATATTTGTTCCAAATATTTGAAGCCTAGAACATGTAAGTACTCAATAAATAATAAAATATCAAAAAGATGCACATTTATAAATTCTTATAGGTACTACAATAACATTTCCAGAGCATACTGTGCATGATAAATAATAGAAGTTCAAGTCTCAATGAATAAAAGGTCAACTCCTATATTGTAAACTTAGCTGGTGCCTTTCTTCTCTGTAGAACCGGATGGTTCTCTGACTTCCTTTTGGTGACTGACATTCAGTGAGCCTCAGAGACTAAGACATGAAGAAGGGTAGTATTCTCCCATCATGGAGAGAAATCATATCAGCAAAGCCAGACCTCATGAGGAGCTGGTGCCCAGACAACAGAGTAAGTTAAATTATATATATATTATAGGTAGGACAACCACGGCAGAGTTTAGAGGAAAACACAGACTCCATTGTAAACATAATGTGTGACTCTTTCCCCTCTAGCAGAAACATTTCATCTTATCATGGACTCCAGTTTGGAGGGATAATATGGCAGTGAATGTGGGGCATAGGTACACTATTCTTTTCTCAGTGTTTGCCTGACTATAAATCAAAACTTGTGGATTATTTTCTAGCTTGCTGGTCTGACCATGTTCAACATCTCACTCACTGTTGGGATTCCTGTCTTGTCAAACAATAAACTTAAGCTCTAGGGCTAGGTGCGGTGGCTCATGTCTGTAATCCTAGCATTTCGGGAGGCCAAGGCAGGCGGATCACTTGAGGTCGGGAGTTTGAGACCAGCCTGGCCAACACAGTGAAACCCTGTCTCTACTAAAAATACTAAAATTAGCTAGGCATGATGGTGCACACCTGTAGTCCTAGCTACTGGGAGGCTGGGGCATGAGAATCACTTAAGCCTGGGAGGCAGAGGTTGCAGTAAGCTGAGATCATACCACTGTACCCCAGCCTGGGCAATAGAGCGAGACTCTGTCTCAAAAAAAAAAAAAAAAAAAAAAAAGAGGAAGCCCTATATGAGGTATATATTATCAATAATAGCCATAAAGGTAAATATGATTTTCTTCCTTCCTTACTCCCCAACTCACGAGAGGGAAAAAAAGATTTTAGGATTCTGTTTAGGAAATCAGGCAAACCTGAGAATTAAATGCAAGTATTCACCAGTTGGTTTGACCCTAAGAGCTTCTGCAAGATCTCATCTTCTCTGCCTCTCAGCATACTGACTTTTGGATTTTGGTTTCTATGCCATCTACCAACCCAGGGTAAAGAGAATTGGATTCCTCAAATAAGAATTATTATTTTTTTCTTTTTAAATTTTTTTGTAGAGACAGGGTCTTGCTATGTTGCCCAAGCTGGTCTAGAACTCCTGGCTTCAAGCAAGCCACCCTGTTTGGCCTCCCAAAGTGCTGAGGCACCGTACCCAGCATGCACCTAAGAATTCTTTGTGCACCTTATCCTGTGGCTACACAGGAATTGGTAGATATAGTCTAACATAGCTCACAGTTTTTATATAAGGGGGTCACCGGCAATTTGATATCTTATCCTTGAAAACTAAACTTCAAGCTCTTTTTGGAGTCCTGTGAGGCCTGGCTAGCTCTCTGACAATGAGTAATCTCCTTACACTATGGAGATAGAGGGTCTTTACTATGAACATCTTTGCATTACCTGCCTCCTTCTCAGTTTCTGACTCAGAAGCTTCATCTTCACCTTCCTCCTCCTCTGAGCTGGAGCTACTAGATTCTTTGTTCTCTTCCTCCATTTCTTGGGACTTAGGTGTCTCCTCCTCATAGAGCATCTTCTCTTTGCTAAATTAAAGACGACAACTTGAGTGTAACTCAGAAGTGATAATCAGGTATAATAAAGGGAACAAGTCTATAAACCTGTATGTGGAAGCAATAACAGAAACACATTCAAATTCTTCTTTACGTCTGTGTGTTCTTCCAAACTCTTCATTTTTGCAGACTAAGATTTAGTATTTTACTACAGAGTATGGCTCAAGGAAATCTGGCCTGTTTAACACACAGAAAAAAGGAGAGCTATGAATTTTGATGACGGCGGATAAATATTCAAAAAAATAATTTAACAAATGTTTACTGAGTACTTATTACATGCCAGGAATCATGCTAGGTACTGGTATAGTCATAAACAAAATAGACATTGTCTCATTGTCTCTGAGTTCACGAAACTTACAGTAAGCAGAGGCAGAAGTTGAGACTAAGAATGCCTAAGCCAGGATTTTTAAATGCTGAAATGCTGCACACAGTCTAAATTAATTCTGAAGTTTAAAACACAGTCAACCTTCCTAAGTGTCTCCCTCACATATCAATGCCACTCTCTTGTTCCACATACTTTCTCACAAGTTTATAGATCATGTGGCTAAATACAAACACAGAGTTTCTTCACTTTATAAATTCTGAAGTATGTCACTGACACAGAGCAAAGCTCATCCCACTACTCAAGCCTAAATGTCTTACTTCTTAAAGAACCCACTCTGCATCTTGCTGTTCAGGTCTGACTCAATGAGTTTATTCCGTGTCTCCTTTTCACTTCGAAGCTGGAAACGGAGAAAACAGAGAGAAAAGGGAAGAAGTTGACTATTGGTGAAAAATCAGCAGTATTGAGAACCAAAATGGTACTATCATCTTGAAGAAAATAGGACCAACACCAAAGAGGTAGTGGAGAACCCGAGAAAAAGAGAAACATATCAGTTGGGTCTCCTTAGATGACAGAACTCATCCAAGGTAGAAGAGAAAAGCCATGGTGTTAAGAACTTCAATAAAACTGCTCCTATCAAATATCCAAACCCAATCTTCAAAAAAAAGTCTAGATTCTGAAGGATAAAAAGCCAAAAGGAACCTGAAATAATTCTTTATGATTCATATACTGAAATAAGTTGGCAATATTTCTAAAGAAAACACAGGTACCAAATGGGAAATAAGCCCTTAGAGAAAATGGTCTGCTATTTAGATGCATGCTCTAGACAAAATGTATTTATATCCCTGGAACTCAAAGTTATGCAGAGGGCAAAGATAAGTACCATTCCCACTGCTGTAGAAATATTATTTCATGAATAATACTATTGATGTTCAAAAATCTTACCATGCTAGGTAGATAGAGAATACACAGGAACTCTCTATTTTTGCAACTTCTGTGTGAGTCTAAACTTATTTCAGAAAAAGTTTTTAAAATTACAAGAACCGCTGGGTGCGGTGGCTCACACCTGTAATCCCAGCACTTTGTGGAGCTGAGGCAGGCGGATCACGAGGTCAGGAGATCAAGACCATCCTGACTAACACGGTGAAACCCCATTTCTACTAAAAATACAAAAAAATTAGCTGGGTGTGGTGGCAGGCACCTGTAGTCCCAGCTACTAGGGAGGCTGAGGCAGGAGAATGGCGTGAACCCGGAAGGCGGAGCTTGCAGTGAGCCAAGACTGTGCGCTGCACTCCAGCCTGGCCGACAGAGTGAGACTCCGTCTCAAAATAAATAAAATAAAAGTAAAAAATAAAATTACAAGAACCTAACTGTGCAAAATATACAACTTATAATTAGGAAGGCTGTTGCTGCTAAATAACAGCATTGACACTGTATTTGAAAATCCTGGTTTCAGTGATCCTGACTGCTCAACAAAGAGAACAAAACGAACTTTAAGTTGTGTTTGTCTGAGCTTAATGTATGTGACTTTTCCACTGAGCCTTAAAATAACCAGAATCTTCACTTTACCATACCAGACATAATGCTGAACACAACAGAGGTTAGGTATGGTTGATCTGTCCCATCATTGTATAGTTCTTTGATTCAGAACTGCTGTTTTCCACATGTGTCTTAAACTTTAGTTTACATTACCTGAGTGACAGCATGTGCAAAAGAAAAAACAAAAACAAAAAACATCATTGACTTTTTTGCCCCTAATGTCCCACCCTAATGTCATTGATCTTTATTCTCCCCACTCAAATTATTCATCTGCTTTACGAGTAAAAAATATGGCTTATTCACTCTTCATCTGTATATTGGGTGGGTTTTCCATCCTGCAGTCTGAACACAAATACCATACTTATGTAGTTCTCCTGTATAGCACTAATTAAGCCAAAGGCATGCATGACCAAACAATAAAAGATTCAAAATGAGGAGCAGAGAAAGGAGGACTGAATTCTGGATGTTTCATAAAACTGGAGTAAGTATGAATCACTGATCAAATACTCTCTATATGAAATGACAGTTTTAGTATTGTATTTCCTTATTTTTTAAGAAATAAATATATCCTTCTCTGTAATCAATGTGTTTAAATAAAGATAGTCTTTTAGTCAATAAGAAAGAGAAAAGCTACGAGATGTCCTCCACTCTGGTACTTTCTATTTGGAAAAACATATGATTCGAACATATCACATTCATTTTCTAGAAATCAAGGGTATTAGGTTTTTGCGGCTGTTTTTAACTTTTAGCTCCTTGAAGGCTATCTTATAATGAGCAAAAATCCTGAGCAATAATGGTTTCTGGGATATATTCTTCTAACAGACTGTTTATAGTTCCTGAAGGGAACAATGAACATCTCTGGAATGCAGATATGTCCATTTCAACTCTCAGCAGACGTAACTGAAACAAGCAATTGAGATACTCGGTGTGAACTGCAAACTATTAGAAAAGTTTCAAAAGCACCAATCAGAGACTCACCACATTCTGCTTCTTCTGGAGCATCTCCAAATGCTCCACGAGACCCTCATCAGCCACATCAAATGGTGTCTGGCCCTGGCAGAGAAAAGGAGCACCATGACTGATAGAAAACAGAAGCAGCAATCACATGACTTTATTAGGGAACTATTCAATAGTCACTTTTTGCCTTTGACTCCAATAGTAGCTGCTTTTCAAACTAATCTACCATACATTATGATAACACCTTCATCTATCACACAGGACACATAACAAGAAACACCAAATCCTTTAAATATAGAGTTTGTACAACAGTATTGCAGAAATCACATCATTTCTAATCCTTATTGCCACCTGGCAAATAATCAAGTGAAATCCCTACTTGTATCTGTTCTAAAATGGTCTTAATTGCTATGATAAATTCCATAAAGAGCTCTTCAAAACTTCAGAGGGAGGTTCAGGGCACATGTTCAATAAAGATTAAATCACAGGAATCATCTTCCTTTAAGTGAGGGGACGACTGACAAGAAAGTTACTCCTTTTAGGAAGCATCAGTATAATTAAGAATCCTGACCCATAGTCTGAGAATGAAACCTGGGTTTGGGAGAGATGTGACACAGATAAGAATATCTACTAATTAAAAGGCCATGTCTCTGCACTACCAGAAAATCAGTACATATATGGGCTGGGCACAGTGGCTCACACCTGTAATCCCAACACTTTGGGATTACTCAATATTATTCAATATTCACTTTTTGCCTTTAATTCCAATAGCAACTGCTTCCCTAACTAGTCTACCATACATTATGATAATACCTTCATCTATCACAGGGACATGTAACAAGAAACACTAAATTCTTTAAACACAGAGTTCGGGATTACAAGTGGCAAGGCTGGGGAATCACTTGAGCCCAGGAGTTTGAGACCAGCTGGGAAACCAGTGAGACCCCATCTCTACAAAAAGAAAGAAAGAAAGAAAGAAAATTAATTAAAACAAAATCAGCTGGGCGTGGTGGCTCATGCCTGTAATCCCAGTACTTTGGGAGGCCGAGGCAGGTGGATCACCAAGTTAGGAGATCGAGACCATCCTGGCTAACACAGTGAAACCCCATCTCTACTATTAAAAAAAAAAAAATTAGCTGGGCGTGGTAGGGTGCACTTGTAGTCCCAGCTACTCAAGAGGCTGAGGCAGGAGAATGGCGTGAACCCGGGAGTTGGAGCTTGCAGTGAGCCAAGATCGTGCCACTGCATTCCAGCCTGGGCAACAGGGTGAGACTCCATCTCAAAAATAATAATAATAATAATAAAATAAAATCAGTAGACATAGGGATAGGAGTTCCAGAGCTTCTAAGTTGTTTGAAGTGAGGCTGAATAACACTATTTTCAGCCGAACTCAAGGATCTTTGTCATTATAACATTTTAATGACTCACATGAATATAGCAACCATAAAATCTTTCATATCTTACCACAGACAGTAACATTAGGCTCCTCAAAGCTCATTTTTTGCCAAGAACAAATATATTTTTTTCCTGTTTTAGAGGCCTGAACATAAATACAATCAGAAGGTCTATGGAGTTTTATTTTAAATAACAAACATAACTCTGTGTTAATAGGGCCAGAGGTAGGGTGGTGGAGGGTAACATTATAGCTACCAGTGATGTATATTTCACCAGAACAGTCAGACTGCCAGTGAATAGAGATGTAAAGCCTTTTATTCTAGAGATCCAGCCACCAATCTCATTGTTCTTTTAGAGGTTCAAGCTCACTCACCAGTTTGTTTCGAATATCCATGTCACAGAGTGCTTCTGCCAGGATGGAGCAAGCCTCCTTCACTCCCCAGTGTGCAGCAGCATGGAGGGGAGTCCAGCCATCATAATCCTGAACATTGAGTTCATAGCCAGCCTGTATTAAAAGTCTAAAAAGAAAACCCAAAACAAGACATGTATCTCCTCTATATTACAGTTTTCTGACAAATAAACTATTATCTAATTGATATTTCAGATTTTGGCCCTGAACCACAGGGGTCTTATGATTACTTCTGCCCTCTAAGGCACAGTTTGGGTTTCATAGTTACTACTTTGCATACCAATTACAGATGATCTTTATCAATCCTCTCGAAAAAGTCATAAGATATTTCCTAGGCATATCCATGTTACACCATACAAGGGGAGTATATGGAAAGGTATGTACCTAAGATTAACCAAAGCATAATTCAATTAGCCAAATCACATAACTCTGTTAAAGGTACATTTTCCATTTTCCAGTGCAGGAAAGAAGTAACATATAAAATGAAGACTCTAATAGGCTGTGGTCATTCTATCTATCTGTAATAGTGTCAACAATAAAGTTTAAAAAAATAAAATAAAATGAAGACTTAATTCTCTTCAGGGTATTTTCCTAACTAACTTTCTAGTTGATCTTTCTAGGACACTATATTTACTGTATACCCACATAACTCCAGTTTTTTGCTAACTATAAAGCTATAATTTAACTTGTATGCATGCAAGAGAAAAGATTTGACTCTTGAAGACCCAAACTACATTGAGGCCTTTATGGATATCACTCTCAGGCAGAAATGGAGCACCAAAACACTGCTATACCTACTAGGGACCCTGTATTAGGTGAAATATGAAATACTGGAAGAGTCCAGTTAACAACTGCACATATAATGCCTTTGGCAACTCAAGTATTTGGCAAAGTCTGCCAACATTAAGTACCAAGAGCTACATGAAGCATGTATGGATGTAAGGAAAAATGGAACAGACAGAGTAGTAGAGTCCAAATCCCTCACATAATTTTGGCTATCCTGTGCCAGCTGGATACTGCATACTCAAGATCTATATAATTAATCTAATGACACCAAATAAATTATATAAGTCAAAAAGGAACAAATGGTCACAAGTATTACAGGACACAAGAAGAGGTCGTTGAAGGGATATTAATGACAAATCATAGAACCGGAAGAAGTCCCCTCCTAGGACCATATACCTCAACTGTGTTTCACACCATACATGTTAGTGAGAAGCTAGAGGAATGGTGGGAGGAAGGGAGACAATCCATGGATGAATACCAGCAAAATGTGAGAAAGACTATACAATCAGAGAGCAAACCAACAAAAAAGAAAACGCATCATAGTGGAAAATCTAAGTAAGCCTCTGCTTCCAAAACCCATTTCATCTTCTCCCAGTGAACCACTCCTGATTGATGTAAATGCACAATACCTGAGGACTTCAGAGTAGCCCTTGGCAGCAGCCACATGAAGGGCTGTAGCCCCTGAGCGAGCCTGCCTCACATCCTCTATTTTCCCACTGTTGAGCCACTGGCGGGCATCCTGCAACAACTGCTGCTCTTCTTCTTTTCTTGACTGCTCTAGATCGACTCCTACAGAAACCAGATACCAGACAGCCAGGATTACTAAAGCTCCACTTAAGTTTGACAGGATATTTTCCTTAGATTAAAGCACATCATAAATATAAATACAAATAACAATTTAGCCATCAAGTTGGGTAATTATCAAATTTAGAAGATCAATGGCATTTGTACACATATTAATGGTCTTACCAGGATTAAATCATGAGGTTAAATATTATATGATACAGATCCATTAAGGGAATGCACCTAAAATTGTTTTCAACAGAACATAAATACAAAGGGGACATTATTTTTACATTATAATATTTGTGCAAAGCTATAAACTTCCAAGTCTTTTTACATGTTATACAACTTTAGTTTCCCAACAATCTTTCAAGGTAAATATAATAGATATTACAATCTTCATTTAACAGATGAGGAAATAAAAATAGAAAGATTAGGAATCTGGCTCAAAGCCACAAAACATATTAGTGAGAGAGCTTGCCACTAGAACTCCGATATCCTGGGTCCCTCTGTGTCATTCTTCTTCTGGGTCCCTATCCACTCACTATACCATAGGATTAGTATCCAAAATCTTGGTTTCAGGTATTGATATACTTTAAAAATTGAACTATCTCTAAAGTTCATTTCCATATACAGGTAAATACACTGACTTGAATATATATAATCTAGGGCAGATTAGTAGGTGATCTGCAGTTTAAAAACCTGTCTGCTTTCAAGGGAATGCAGATTTTATTTTCCTTAAAAACATGAAAAAACTCCAAGAGTTACTCCCTTTAGCCAATAACTTTCCAATATCTGTGCCAGTGACAAGGGGTTAGGGTGTGGCATACCCCATTATACAAAATAATAAAATGTCTCAAATACAAATATACCCATTCAAAAAGTTTTACACTCATTAGCAGTCTTTGTGCTTGGTCTACTCCCTTTCAGCTCTTAAAAGAGAACCTGCCGGGTGTGGTGTCTCACGTCTGTAATCCCGCACTTTGGAAAGCCTAGGTGGGTGGATCGCCTGTGGTCAGGTCACGACAAGCCTGATCAACATGGTGAAACCCTGTCTCTACCAAAAATACAAAAATTAGTTGGGCGTAGTGGTGGGCACCTGTAATCCCAGCTACTCGGGAGGCTGAGGCACGAAAATTGCTTGAACTTGCGAGGCGGAGGTTGCTGTGAGCTGAGATTGCACCATTTCACTCCAGCCTGCGAGACAAAGTGAGACTCTGTCTCAAAAAAAAAAAAAGAGAACCTGTCAAATACCTAAGTATTATCTGTATGATTTTGGGAGGCGGATGGGGTGAAGAGATCAGTTTAAAACCAATTTAAAACAGATCAGTACTCCAAACACAAAGAAGTGTTAGCAGTGCTGCAAAGTTAAACATATATACGAATACCCCTTTCAATAGCGTATACTCCCTCACTGAAGAGTCAGCAATCAAAATAGAAAAAGTGGTTTCTCCAATCAAAACTATTTTTTAAAACTGATTTTTTTTAAAGTTGTTTGTACATTTTAAAGCAAATGTTAGAAGATAAAACTGAGTGAAACTGGAGGTTATGCTAAGCATAAAATTCTTCAATTCAATAGGGCACAAAGCCAGGAGCCATAGCTCATGCCTTTAATCCCAGCACTTTGCGAGCCAAGGCTGGTGGATCACTTGAGGTCAGGTGTTTAAGAACAGCCTGGCCAACATGGTGAAACCCTGTCTCTACCAAAACATACATAAAATTAGCCAGGCATGGTGGCGCACACCTGTAGTCCCAGCTACTCAGGAGGCTGTGGCAGGAGAATCACTTGAACCTGAAAGGCAGAGGTTGCAATGAGCCGAGATGACACCACTGCACTCCAGCCTGGGCAACAGAGTGAGACCCTGTCTCAAAAAAAAAAAAAAAAAAAGGACACAAAAACTATACATGAAAGGCAGCAAAAGCAAGTAGTTACTGATCTAGAACATCACTATATTAAAGTAGGATCAGCATACTTTCTTCAAAGGGCCAATATTTTCACATTTGTGGTTCATCCAATCTATCACTACTACTCAACTCTGCTGTTGTAGCATAAAAGCAGTTTTGGATAATATGTAAACAATGTGCGTGGCAAGAATTGGCCCTGACTGTTCTAAAAGTTCAAATTGGGAAAGACCACTGGAGCTAAATCCTCTGGGATGGACTGCAGATTGTGAGTAAGGTAGTTCAGCAGAAGGACTAAAAAAAAAAAAAAAAAAAATTCACTACAAATCTTGTCCACAGGGTTTTGTGATGGAAAAAGAACCCAGGGACTTCCAGGTTGAAGAATTCCATCCTATTATGTGAAATTGATTCTCCTAAAACTATAAAATAAGAATAAGTATTTTTAGAATATATTATTCTAAGTTAGCTTCCTCACCTTAACAAATTATCATACTAATTCTCATGGTTAGTTACAATAAATATCTTTACCAGCACCACTTTTAGCTCTCAACAAGGGAAAAGATGCAAAGTCACAAACTGTATTTGGCCAATTCTCAAATTTACACTGTATCCCAATACCATGCATACACACAGTAAGAAATGTTCACACTCCTCATCAGGTCACTCTTAATTGTATAATGGGTATGCAACCTCTGAATGGCAAAAACAAGGAATGATTGGTCATCCTTTTGGCATCTGGCCTACTCTTGTGTGAGTTATTATGAGGATACTTGATGCTGGATTAATGATTAATGCAGTGCAGACAGATCAAATCCTCTCCTGTCATATGACAGTGAAATGCTCTACACAGCAAATGGATTATTTTCTGTAAATGGCAGTGTTTGAGAGTCTTTCCTGGCCCCCTCCAATCCATGAGGTTACCTTGCTTCTTTACTTGCTCCAGAAGAAGATCCTTCATGGCTGGCTCTTCTGCAAGGTCAGAGGGAACTTCACCTTCACTGTTGACAATACCTACACTGGCTCCGTGATTAATGAAATACCTGTTGTAGACAAAATCCAGGATCAATATTTTATGTCAATCTAATATAAATGTTACTCATGCATCTGGCATTGAATACACAGAGAAGTCTCTATTTTGAGTTTAAAATATGGTCTCAGTTAAGATATTCCATTATTAGTTTCTACGTGCCTTAAACTTCAGTAATTAAGACTAAAGGCTTCCCTATTTCCTCACTACAGCAATGCCAACAAACAGGATTTCTTTCACACTCATATTACTAACTCCCATCCTCTCACTCCCAGTGGATGGCAAGAGAATTTCTAAGTAACATAAAAAAGGCATGGAGCCTTAAACTTTCCCAGTGCCACATTGGAGCTTATTAAGTAGTGCTGTGGGTGTGAAAATAAAAGAATAAAGTGTCCATTAAAATTTATATAAATCTGCCTAAATTATGCCTCCACAAAAGTCTCCTATCAACCAGACATCCACATGAAATCTTCCTCTACTCTAAGACGAAACTAAATTATTTAAGAAGAAATATTAAAATGTTAAGGAACTAAATTCTAAATCCAAATAGAAGACTTGATTCTGAAGAAGAAAGGTCTGATAATTCAATACCTTACATAGATCTTTTTTGATTTTCAAAGTACTTTCAAGCAAAATTATATCATAAGTCTTAGCACGTAAAATTATATCATAAGTCTTAGGCAACATTAGGAAGTAGGCAATGTGGGTATTATTACCATGACTTTAACAAATTGAGGTTCATACATAGTAAGTAATTTTCTCAAAATCACATAGCAGGCAAGTGGCAGAGGGTACAGCCCCAGTCTTGACTTTAAATCTAGTTCATCTTTTCTCTAGATCAAGTCACTTTTGGGCCAGTGAGAACCCTAATAATGCTAGGAATTCTATCAAATACTCAGAAGCATTTAAAGGAAAAAGAAAAATAATTCAGATTAGACTTCAATCCATTCAACAATTCAATAAACATTTACTGGTCCCCTACTATATTCAAGAAACCCTTTTTTTTTTTTTTTTTTTTTTGAGACAGAGTCTTGTTCTCTTGCCCAGGCTGGAGTTCAGTGGTGCAATCCCGGCTCACTGCAACCTCCGCCTCTTGGGTTCAAGCAATTCCCCCGCCTCAGCCTCCTGATTAGCTGGGATTACAGGCGTGTGATACCATGCCCGGCTAATTTTTGTATTTTTAGTAGAGACGGGGTTTCATCATATTGGTCAGGCTGGTCTCCAACTCCTGACCTCCTGATCTGCCTGCCTCGGCCTCCCAAAGTGCTGGGATTACAGGTGTGAGCCACCGCGCCCAGCCATAGGAACCACATTTTAGACACTGTAGGAGATTACAAAAAAAAGAGAGAGAGAGATAATATATGGCCAATGGCCACTGCATTCAAAGAACTGGCAGAGGGGGCCAAACGCAGTGGCTCACCCCTATAATCCTTTGGGAGGCTGAGGTGGGCAGATCACTTGAGGCCAGGAGTTTGAGACTAGCCTGACCAACATGGTGAAACCCTTCTCTACTAAAAATATAAAACTTAGCCAGGCATGGTGGCAGATACCTGTAGTCTCAGCTACTCAGGAGGCTGAGGCACAAGAATCGTGTGAACCCAGGTGGCGGAGGTTGCAGTGAGCCAAGATCAGCCTGGGTGACAGAGCAAGACTCTGTCTCAAAAAAAAAAAAAAAGTTGGTAGAGGGAAAAGAATCAATAGAGATTAAGACCATGTTTTTGCTTTCTTGGTGCCTAGTACCTGGTATAATAGGGCCTCAACAAATGTTTGTTAATTTATAGATCCATTCTACATATATGAAGCTCAAAGGCCTTCACAATTCACCTGACTTTTAACCATCTCCTTCTTTCCCTTATAGTCTCAGAGGAAGACAGACCTTACTCAATTCCAAAACTAACTCCCTCTATTTGTATTCTTAATTCTATCAAGTCCTAGGATTCCATTCATAAATTACCCTTCATTTCCACATATTCAATAGCTCCTCTCTTCTGATTCCTCTCCCTTAGGCCAAAGGAATATTCAGCTACACCTCCCTAACCCTGAAATATCAAAATGCAAATAATACACATAGTAAGCACTCAACAAATGTTTCCTGGATTGAAGTGTACCCTATACTCTATAATTAAACTAAACCACTTACTGTTCCCAAACACATCAACTCTCACCCAGCTCTCTTCCACAGCTTGTTTCTTCCAACTAGGTGGAACTCTCTCCCTTCTCTTTTCCCTTCTAGAAACCTTTGACTTCTTTCAAAGTTCATTTAAAATGCTTTTGCCTTCATGAAAGCTTTGCCAGTTCTCACAAACTGAATTCCCTCTTTCCTTCCTTTAACCCCATCCTCCTTCTTCTCCTCCCCAACAAACACTAATACTAGACCTCGGTCATGACTTACACTGTACCTCGATGCAACCGTTCCATCAGACTGAAAGCTACTTGAATGCAATGTGAAAGGAAAATAAAAACTTGGGACCCTAATTTCACTATGCCAAAAGAAAAAAACATTAAGCTGAAAGTTGAGTCATGCAAGAAGCTGCCTTACCTTTTGTTCCTAAGGAGATAGCTATAAAGTTAAATATCTCTACAGGTTCTACGTTTACCTCTATGTTCACCTTATCTTACGTAAAGTGAGATTTACTGAGCGTGAGATGAACATTTAACTGACTATTTCCCTACCCGCTCCTTTCTTTGTGAATTCAGGAATGTGACCATGCCCTCCCCTTTTCCCCTCCAGGCTGCTTTTCCCATTTAAGTATTGAAGTTCTCAACTTGATCTTTGGGGAAAGGCACAGATCTGTCTCCTGGGTGCACGTCTTTAACCTTGGTAAAATAAACTTCTAAATTGATTGAAACCTGTCTCAGATACGTTTTGGTTCATAGCAACAACTGGGTCTTCCTCACTATTATCATCGCCATGGCATCTGACACTTGCTTTTTTCTCTTGGCATTTCATAAATATTGCTTGAACTACATGGAATATGTAACCACTCTACTCTGACGTCTATTCCATCCCTACTGGATCAGGCATAATGTCACTTGGGTATACAGGACCCTGCTTTTCCCATGTTCTACAATCAAGAAGATGAATTTTTAGAAAGTAATTTGGCTGTTTTTCCATTTTCTCCAGTTTTAGGGAAAAAAAAAGTTAAAAACCTCTTTAGTTTTACCTTTACCTGGACAAGAATAAATATCAACCTATGAAGTAATTTCTACTTTATCTCTGAGAATCCTTAGAGTTGCCCAAAGGCTCATAGCTCAATAAATATTCCCCTAGAAAATAAAGCCTTCTTGTCCTTCCTAACTCAACACCAATACAAGGTCTTTATGCTACTATTCTAAGGGAGGAAGAAAGAAAATGAAATATGTTCAAAAACAGAATAAATTAGCATCTCAATAAACTATAAAGCCAAATGCTGTACGTTTGGGTCAATCTGCTGCTTCTAAGTTAAACATTATTCATAATAAAAATGTAAAAACACCCAGCTAACTAGCATTGAGCCTGAACTCATTTTAAAATGAGGAAAAAAGCCTCTGAAGCTCCCTCCTTTTGATGCAATATACTGAGACAAAAAGATCATCATGAAACATGAAATAGAATGTACTTGGATTCTTCCTACAAAGCCAGTTTGCCTTTATTCATTTCTACTCCCTTGAAATTTAGAGTTCCTAATGATTCTGGGAATAAGAGCATAAAGTCTAAGATCTTTCAGATACAAAAATAAAAACGATGAGATGATCAGGGACTGATCTTATTTAAAACATTCTCCACTGGCCCTGAGGTAAAGCAACCAAAATGAATAGTACAATTTTTTTTTCCATTGTGTTTGTATGTATGTGTGTGTGTGTGTGTGTGTATATCTATATATATATATATAAAAGCTACATACTGCAAAGAAATAAATGACAGTAAAGTCAAAACCTGTCTAATAATGATATGCATAGTGAAAAATAAAATAAAGAAGGCCATCTCTACCACCACCCCACCTCTGCAATGTATTCTGGTCTAGATCACCTCTCTCCTGGTCATACTTCCAAGTATAATTTGTAATAATTTGTCTTAGGAAATAGTAGCTCTCACAGATTTATTTCATACAAGGTAATATTTGTCTGAGCTAGAGATTGTTACATTTTGAACTTACTTCCAGAAGAATTATATTTGTTCATAAGGATGAATTAAAGAAACCACTGTAAAAAAAAAAAAAAAGCAATTACAATCATTCTCTGTACTTAGCTTCACACACAGGAGGATAATGCCAGCACAAGTGATCCTAATTCTAAGCATGTGCTCTCCTTAGAAAAGTGAAAGAAAAAAACTTAGGAAAAAATCGAATCCTTGAATGTAATGAGATTTGGTAGCTCGAATATCACAAGCGTGCCACCTGAACAAATAGCAATTGAAAGGCCAACATGTTCTATAAATGTTTCTTAAATAAATGTTTTAAGTAAAATCACCTCAACTCTTAGGCATCAGAATTCTGGCGTTACTGGATAAGACTGAGAATAAGAGCCCTCCTTCCTGTTAGACTCTGAAAATGGGCAACCTAGGGGATGAAGAGGTTACTGACTTTTACTAAATTGGAACAGAGGGAGGAATCAAGAGTGAAGAAAACTGCACTGTTTATTTCTGGTTGCTTTGGGGCCAACCCAGTCATCCACTTTTTAGAACAAGTAGCCCAGTCAAACACCAGTACTGCTGCCTAAAGTTTCTCTGGCTCTGACTCTCCCTTTGTCTAACTTCTCCAACTGAGCATCCCTGGGTCAGCAGCAAACCTAGCAACTCAGACTCTCCCTTAGGAAACCTGGGCAAATCAGATTCTGTGGGAAGTCATTCTTAGGCCTCTACAGAGCTGCCAACAAAATTCTCCCTGCTGTTTCCTGAACAGGAGAAATGTAATGGAGTTCTACTCATATTATTGAAAAGGGCCTTCAAACAAGCAATCTGATTTTCAAAGGAGCATAGAATATCATGATTTTATTTAGGGAATTTACCTTAACAATATAAATTTACCCTCATCTAGAATATGCTCAACTGCCTCATTTTAAAGATGTTTCGACTGCCAAAGTCTCTTCCTTGTTTAAAACTAAACTCCCCGATCATTCCTTCAAACAACAGATATTTATTCAGTGCCTCTTATATCTCAGGTACCACATGGTCAGGATTCTTCTACCCATGGGAGGGGAAACTAGTTGTCCTGGAGATAGTACCTCCTAATGTATCTTATTAAACATTCCCATTCAACTAATGTGGAGAACACATGCCAGTGCCCACCTTTCCTTTGTTCCATATGTTTAGGCTCATTCTTCTGCTATTAACTACATGAGTGCTGTGACTGGTATGCTAGGCATTTTTTACCTTCATTTGTACTAAGCACTGATTAAAAAAAAAAAAACACAAAAACAATGAAACAGGTTTACAAAGAATCCAGAAAAAATCTCCAGGACTGCCTATACACATGCCCAGCTACAGTTGTTCAGAAAGTGAACCCAGACAGTGGAATAGCCACCTCTGCATATCCCAGCAAATATAAATTACCTGCAAATAGAAGCAAACAAAAAGTTTCAACCAAAAAACTATAGATTTAGCAGCTTTACAAAACATTGTATTAGTTATGTCTTAAAGATAATTCAACATTCTGCTTTTGTAATCTGTAATAAAGAGAGACTATAATTATTTATAAAAATCAAATTCCTAAGAATAGAGGAGTAATGAAGGCTATTCCTGCCAATACTGCAAAGCCACACACACAGAGGCTCACTCACTCTGCTATGTTGAGATAGCCACAGGACGCTGCTGCATGAAGGGGTGTCCAGCCTTCGTTGTCTTGCTGGTTTACATTGGCTCTGTTCTCCACCAGAAACTTCACCATATCCAAATTTTCATCAATACATGCCTGAAAAGAAAAGTCCGTTCATTCATTCGACAAGTATTCACTGGGCCACTATGTGCCAGACGCTGCTCTGGGCATTGACAATGCCCAGCAATTCTAATAGTACATTAATTTCTATTTCTTCCATTCTGTCTCCAGAGCATGACTTCTAGGCTTTGTGATCTTATACAAGCTCCTTAAATGTCTCTATGCCTTAATATCTCAACTGTGAAACACAGTTTCACGTAAAATGATACTTAATCTTATTTATAGTATTATTAGGATTAATTATGAAAGTGATTTCTAAAGTGCTATAAATGAATAAGCTGTTTCATCATTATATTATGAAAAGGAAAGCATGTCACAAAACACTGATTTGTATATGAATTTTATTTTATTTCACTGCCACCTATTTGTCGCAGATGCTTATTAATTTTAAAAGAAAATAATCAGAGGATTGCCTGAAGCCAGGAGTTTGAGACCAGCCTGGGTAACAAAGTGAGACCCTGTCTCTATTATAAAAAAATTCATTCATTCATTCATTTAAAAAAGAAAAAATCACACAGGATCAAATGCAGTTTTTCTCAGTGGGAAGTTGTAGTTTATGACTCTAGAATTGCTAAATAAACCTTGCTTTGGTGAGAAATGGTAGGGTGATCATTTCAAACAGAAAAAATGTATTTTCATGTATTTTCTGAATGGCTTCAAACACTATGGCAAAGTATGCTTGCAGTTATGGATGGTTAGGAGTCTCATCTGCTCATTTCATGGCAGCAATTAGGAGACAGCAGAAACTTTTTGAATAAAGGCTTTAGGCTTACCATAAGACTAAAAGAAACAGTCACGAACAGCAATGAGATCTAAAAAAACCAAAAGGTCTTGACATAGCTACAGAATAAAAATGTGGTAGAAGGTCCACATGTGAAAATGGTAATCATTATCAAGGCTTCGATGGTTACAAAACCATTGGGATAATTCAGGACCAAGAAACAAATGAGATTCCCTTTTTAAAACTTGCCTTTTAATCCCCTCCTTTAAAAAACAAGGCTAAAACTTCAGCTCAGGTAGAATTATCCAAATCAAAGGATTTTCATAATAATATTAAGATATTACTTGCATTTTCATTGTATTGACATTTACACTAATGATGCAAAAGCAATGGTGAGTAAAACTGCTGGTGCCTTAGCATGAAGCAAGACAATGGCATCAAAAACTACCAGCAGGCACTATATTCTTCCCCACCACATACAGTTAAAAAAATAAAAAAGAAAGCCAGTTTCACTTAAGAATAACCTTGAAGAAGCAGTAGAAATTTTTTAATATTCTGTGTGAGAAAATGGAAAGTATACTTAAAGCACTTCTGCTGCATTTTGAGGTATGATGGTTGATTCTAGGAAAAAGCACCTAAGGCCAGGCATGGTAACTCATGCCTATAATCCCAACACTTTGAGAGGCTGAGGCGGTAGGACTGCTTGAGCCCAGGAGTTCAAGACCAGCCTGAGCAACATAGACCCCATCTCTACAAAAAAATTAAAAATTAGCCAGGCATGGTGGCATGCACGTGTAGTCCCAGCTACTTGGCAGGCTAAGGTGGGAGGATGACTTAGGCCTGGGAGGTCGAGGCTGCAGTGAACTGTGATCACTGCTGTCCAGCCTGGGTGACAGGGAAAGACCCTGTCTTGAAAACAAAAACAAAAATAAAAATAAAAACACACCACTTGTGCATCTGCTTCAGGTGTGAGATGAACTAGCCACTTTTTAAAATCAAAATAACACCATTTTTACTCAAAAGAATAACCAACAAATTGTGATAATTTGGACTTGAAAATGAGCAAAGTAAGCCTGTCACTCCAGAGAAAATAATCAGTATGTGTTGCAACAAAATTCGACCATCCAAGTGAAGATAAAAATTCCAGAAACAGCTACCACCATGAGCTTGACAGCTTCCCAGTATTCACTTTTCTGATAAGGTCTGTCTATCAACAAATCTGATTTGTTGATATTATATAATGAAATGTATTTAGATTTGTAAGATCTCTATAACTCAATCAACCTATATTTTCCAAATAAACAAATGCATGGTGTTAGAAAATCACACATGAAGTAAAAGATTCATTCAAAGTACAAGTTAGGCTAATGTGTTTTAATGTAAGAGAGTAAGAAAAGTCCATTGATATGGTTTCAGTTTCCACACTGCATGGACATTTAAGAAACTCATATCTTAAACTACCATTTCCAAAACTTACATTTAAGAAACTATCAGGTTGGGTGTGGTGGCTCATGCCTGTAATCCCAGCACTTTGGAGGCCGAGGCAGGTGGATCACCTAAGGTCAGGAGTTTGAGACCAGCCTAGCCAACATGGTGAAACCTCATCTCTACTAAAAATACAAAAACCAGGCAGGTATGGTGGTGCATCTCAGCTACTCAGGAAGCTGAGGAATAAGAATCACTTGAACCCAGGAGGCAGATGTTGTAGTGAGCCAGGATGGCACCACTGCACTCCAGCCTGGGTCACAGAGACTCTGTCTCAAAAAAGAAAAAGAAAAAGAAACAAACCATCACTTGTTAGAGTTTGGTATAATATCCAAGAAAAACATCTACAATTGTCTGAACAGACTATTAAATGGTCCTCCCTCTTCCTTCGAGAGGCCACATTTTATATACTTTCATCAAAATAATATATCACAACAGATTGAATACAGACATTAAAATAAATTTGTAAAAACATAAAACAATATCATTATTTTTAATTATGTCATTTATATTAACACGTAATCAGCGCCATTGTTGCTTTAAATGACTTAATAAGTACATATTTAATAACTACATATTTTAAAAATTTCTCAGTAACATATAATAATCAATACAAAGTCCTGATTAAATTTTGGGAGTCCTAAATGATTTTTTAAGTATAAAGGAATCCTGAGATCAGTTTGATAACCACTGTCTTTAATCAAACATACCAAAAGATATTTCATGGTGATAATGAACTATTTAAATGGCAAAAGATTACTGTGGAAAGAATTAAAGTTAGAACTCTAGAGGGCCCTTGTAACTACAGGACTTAAGTAGTACATATCATACCAAGAGAACTTACAGGAACTCCCTTCAGAGATAAACCTCATATCAATCCTGCCTAGAAGGGGATGAATGAAAAAAGGGTGATTTCATTTAGATGAAAATTTAATTAGATAACTTGGTTACAAACAGCATCTTTGTTATTTTTTTCCCAAAATATTTGATACTTCTTTTATAGTTACTGAGATTAGCTAAAAATGTCAATCTAGGTTTGATTTGATGCTATATAACATATTCCTCCAATCTGACCTTCTGGCCAATCTGACTTTTATAGCCAGTATTCATAGTGGTCTAGTTTTCAACAGCAGCTCCAGAAATTATATTTCTTCTATGATGTTTTCTTAGATTTATCAACTTCCACAAGTATATCCCATTCTTTACCATGTAAAATGTTTAATAATTATTTATATTTACAAATAGTTCATAAGTATGCTTATCACTAAATTGGTCATATATTGTATGTCTGCCCATTTGCAATCCCATATGGCAAGGTCTAGCCAACTTCTCGCAGAGTACCTCACTAAAAACTGTAAATAAACATTTTTATTTATTTTTCTTTTTTGTAAATAAGCATTTTTAAGTAAAAAAAAAATGGAAGAGGACACTTTCAAAAAGGTACTGAAGTCCAAGAATAAAAAAGTATTTTAAAGGTTGTGCTAAAAACACTCTTTGCCCTTAGTAATACTCCTATATCAAGAAGGTCAAATGTGCCGTCTAAACAGCTGGGTCAATTGCTTCTTGCTGGGTTGCAAAATTTCTTTGGCTCTGAAAGACAATCTAAAAACTTAGCTCTAACGTCCACACCACTATCAAGCAGACTTTTAGAAGCCAATGTTTTCAAGATCATTCTTTGGCCTTTAAAGACAACAGCAGCCACATTCCAGAGGCCCTAAAATAAGCCCAGCTAGTCCAGGTATCAAATGGGAGAAAACTTATCTTTTCTCTTTCCTCCCCTCTTACTTCTCTCCTTTTCTTAATCTCCTTCACCTCATCACTACTTCAGTTCTCTTCTTTTAAATGTTGTGATATTGTGTCTTATAAATCTCAAATCCTTGATACAAAAAAATTTCTGAGACAGGGTCTCGCTCTGTTGCCAGGGCTGGTCATTAACTCTTGGGCTCAAAAAGCCTCTGTCTCAGCCTTCCAAGTAGCTGGGACTACAGCTACATGCCACTACAGCCAGTTTGATACAAAATTTTATGGGAATGACACTGTAAGGAAGTTACAACAACAAAACTAGCCTACTCTAAAAATGCAATTTAGCGATCATCAATCTGTGAAGAACCATCTTAGAGAAAATAAAGGAGGCCAACTGTCTAAATCATTCCCCATACCCTCCACAAAGTGAAGGATGGTATATTGTTTAAAACAGTTTTGGCTAGGCATGGTGGCTTACACCTGTAGTCCCAGCACTTTGAGAGTCCGAGGTGGGAGGATCGCTTGAGTTCAGGAGAACCTGTGCAACACAGTGAGACCCCATCTCTATTTGTAAAATAAATAAAAGCACCAGCTTTGGAGTCAGACAGACCAGGGCTTGCATACCAGCTCTGCTGATGCATACAACCCACAGTGGGGTATCTAACCTAACTATAAGCATATGTACTCATCTATAGTATTGGGAGTACCACCTACCTTATAAGGTTTTGTAAAGATTAAAGGAGATAAGCCCTTGGAATTGTTCCTGACTTTGTTGTTGTTAAGGCAACAGTGTAACACACAGCAACTGCCTCAAGGGGGAAAGAAAACCAAAAACTAAAAAGTACTTATTCCTCACTGATCACAGCCCTCCCCACCCCCAGTACCTTACAGGAGGAAAGTAGTTTGGTTAAAAATGTCTTTGAACTAGCAAGATTCTGGAGCTTGTTTGTAAGTCTAACTGCAGAAAATTCCCTCTCTAATGTTCAGAATCCCATGGATTCTTAAATTCAGGAGCCATATGAATAAA